TGACCGGACACTGGGTGTGAATGGACACGGGGTGTGAATGGACACATACATGGAGCACAGGTATGCACTGACATCACACGTAGGTGAGCACAGAGGTACACGCAGGTGCCCCTTCACACACACCTCTAAGGACACAGGCACTCCCACCCAACCCCCATGCACACCCACACAGGTGACACCCACAGCGGCAGAGGCAGGGGTCGAACCCGACACTTCCCCACTCCACACAAACACCCCACACCCAGGGCTGACCCGTGGGGTGGCATCACTTGGCACCAGCAGCTCCTTGGACTCCTCTCAACTGCCCCAGCTGGAGCGTGCAGGGTCCAGCCGAGGCACTGCCCCTCTCCTTGGGGGTGGGAATGGGGGTTCAGGGGGGTCTGGACAGCCCCTCCCCCCCACCATGAGCAGCCATCTTCAATGAGGAAGAAATATAAAGCATATCGAGCAATTATAAGGAAAAAATAATAAAATAAATCAGTTCATTCATTGGTGGGAAGGGATGGGAAGGTGAGGGGCTCCAGGTGTCCTCCCCTGATCCTGTAAACAGGCAAACCACAAGGGGATGAGGATCACCCACCCAGGGACAGTGGGACAGGGAAAGCCAAAGTGGTCACAGGGTGTGGAAAAACCTGGGCGTGTGTCTCTCCAGCCCCTCAGAAAAATAAACCTCCCCAAAAGCCCGGATTTGACCCGAAGTTCCTGTGGGCATTGCCCCAACACGTCTGTCCCACATCCTGCTGCACTCTGAATATCCCTTGGCAGCTAGAACACTGGGACATGATGTGACCTCCAGAGAGCAGTTCAGTGTCCAGAAATCATGGCTAGGGCCCAGTTTTTGAGGGCCAGGGTTGCATTTTGCAGGTAAATCCAGGAAGAATAGGTGAAGCTCGTCAAGTGGTCCCTCACGCACTCCCACGTCACGTCCCCACTGGAAAAGCAAGGACAAGGGATTACAGGAAGGAGTCAGAGCCAGAAGGGATGAATGACATGGGGGATACAGGAGCCCCCCTGGGCAGAGCAGGACTGGGGACAGCCCCGGCCAGCACGGGAGGGACAGGAAGGGACACAGGGAGGGACAGAGGGAGGGACACAACTGCAGCACCGAGAGCACAGCCCCGGGGGAAGGGGAGCAGGACGGGGGCTGCTCACTTGCAGGAGTCGAGGCAGCTCTGCCAGCCCCGCTGCAGCACCGCAGCCAGGCCCTGCAGCAGGGGCAGCAGGCAGCTCTGCACCAGGAACAGCAGCAGCTCCCGCACACACTCGGCGAAGTGCAGCAGCGCCTCGGGGAGCCGGTTCTGGAGCTGTGGAGCAGAGATATGATGTGGGGTGAACACCAACCCCTGCAGCAGCTCTGGGCACAGCCAGAGTCTGGGGTACTGCCTACCTGTGATGGTCCCATCTCACCCACCCCCTTCTCCAGCATCCTTGAGCTCTCCCCACATTCCCTCTTCTCCAGCACTCAGCAGACAGGGCGCCCACACTCTGTGAGCACTGATGTCACCCCACTGCCACCAAGATGCTGGCTTCTGGAACACCAGGGAGTTTTCTGAGCCCTCTCCCTTCCACAGTCACTGGAAACAGCTGCAGCAGGCTGGTGCCACAGGAGGACAAATGGCATCAAAGAGCTGCCATGGGGCTGTCCCTTTCCCAGAACTCCAACAATGGCAGCTGCTGCCAGGGGCAGTGGCAAACATGTCACCATCCTACTTCAGGCCTCCCCCTGTGCCCCCGGTACAGATTTCCCAGTCCTACAAGCCCCCCACCGGCACTCCTTGTCTCCTCCAGCCCTGGGTGCCCCCACTCACCCAGTCACTGAGCCAGGGCAGGTTGCCATGGAGCCAGGAGAGCAGGGAGTAGCACTGCTGGGACACATCCCGGGCCATCTCACTGCTCGTTTTCCAGAGCAGCTCCAGCTGTGGCCACAGGACGGACACAGCCACAGAACCGTGGTGGGCCAGGCTGTGCTCCAGCCACCTGCAAGGGATGCTCAGATGAGGGCAGTGCTGGACCACGGCACCACGGCTGCCACACAGAGCACACGGGCACGGAGCTGCCACCACAGCGTGAACGGGGGAGAGCTCCAGTCTGAGCTGGATCTGCTTCCAGGCACGGCTGGGCAACAGCTCCCAGCTCCCTCCCAAGCCCTCGTCGTGCTGCACAACAGCCTCACCCCCTTGTCCCAGCCACCCAGCCACGCTGGTGTCACAGACCTGTACCCCTGCAGGCAGCCAAGGGACACCTTCTGCCAGGCCAGCTGGGAGGCGGGCAGGATGCCCGAGGAGCGCAGCAGCCGAGCAGAAGACGAGGCTGCAAGAGACAAGCGTGATCCTTGAGTGGCCCTTGGCTATGGGGACATGCATCCATCTGTGCCCAAGGGCTCTGTGGGGACACACGGCTCGAGCTGTGCTGTGGGAGCATCCTCCTCAGGAGATGCTCCAGGAGGGGACAGACAGACAGAACTCCCTGAGCAGGGAGACACTCCCAAAAGGGAACAGGCAGAGGGTGGTCTGCCTGCAGAGCCTGCATCCCCCAGGACCCCCCAGCTGGACAGATGGACAGTCTGCATCCCCCAGGATACCCCAGCTGGACAGATGAACAGACCCCACTGCAGGCTGCCTGCAGAGCCTGCATCGCCCAGGACCCCCCAGCTGGACAGACCCCACTGCTCACAGCAGCCACAGGACAAAGGCAGGGACACCAAGGGGCTTTGCTCAGGGGAGCAGCCTAAGGAGTGATCCGAGGGAGGGAGGATCACTCCTGAGCAAGTGGAAAAAGCCTCAAGCTTCTGACAGGGGAAGTTTAGGGTGTAAACAAAAACCAGTGTCTCCATAGAAAGGGCTGTCCAGGGCAATGGTGGAGTTTCTATCCCTTGAGGAATTTAAAAGCTGTGTGAATGTGACACTTGTGGGGACATGGGATAGTGGCGGCCTTGGCAGTGCTGGGGGTGCCTGATGTTCCCAGAGGATTTCTGGAAGCTGGATTTTCTGCCTCCCCAGCATACCCTGGAAGGAGCCGTGTGTCTGCACGTCGTGCAGGAAGAAGCCAGCAGCGAACACCAGCAGGACAAGCAGCAGCCGTGACCAGGGGAAGCCCCGGCCCTTCATCTTGTGCAGCAGCTCCTGCAGGGGAGGACAAGGCCCTGTCACTGTCACTGCAGAGTCCTGACACCCCAGCACAGCCCCAGCCTCCCAGCTGGGACAGAGACATCTGCTGAGCAGCTGGGGCTTGGACAGGGACCAGCACATCTGTCCCCAGCGTGTCCCTGGCCCAGCACGTGCCAGCAGCAGGAGGGGCTGACCGAGCCCCAGCACAGAGCTGAGATGTGGCCCCGGGTGCTGCCTGCTGTCCCTCACCTTGCAGGCAGTGTCACAGGCGGCCACACCCTGGTCCCCTCCAGTCCCCCTGGCCGCCAGCTCCTCATTGGTCACTTTGAAGGAGCGAACCGTTTCCTGCAGTGACTGATGCACCTTGGGGACAGCAGGAGCTGTGTCAGGACCCCCAGGTCCCCACAGACCCCCTGAGCTGACACAGCACCAGGAGGGCAACCACAGGTCCCATGGGGACATTGCCAGCTCAGGGAGCTCTCACAGCAGCACGGGGACACTCCCCCACCCCACAGCTCACCCCTACCTTCTTGCTGCTGCTCTCCCAGGACTCCAGGAGGTGGTTCAGCAGCAAACTGGGGGGAAGGAGAACACAGGCTTGGTCAGGAACTCCCAGAAGGAATTACGGTGTCCCAAAGGTTGTGTAGGTGAGCCCTGGCCCTCCTTGGAGCCACAGTCTGGACTGACCTGGACTGAGCTAGGTGTTTGGTGTAGAGCTGCCTCCAGACGCTGAAGCTCAGCGGGTCCAGGCTCAGGCACTGGCTCATGGAGGTCAGAAGCTGGGGAGGGGGCACAGCAGGTCATTACATGAGACTTTCTCCCTGGCATGCCAGACACCCCATGCCCCAGGCTGGACTCTGACACAGCCAGCCAGCTCCTGAGGCACCAAACAGAGCTGCAGAACCCCTGCACACAGAGGGAGGTGGAAATGGGCAATCTTCCCACACAAACCATTCTATGATTTGATGACTCCTATCCCCTGGGAGCAGGCAGCACGACCCCTGCCCTGCCATCACCATCCCCGTGACAGCACATGTC